CTGCCACTCCCCCGCCGCCACCGATGGAGGAAACAGAAGTGTGAGCGCTAACTAAACTAGCATCAGCAGCCAAGTACTGCCTGTGTGTTCTGGACACTTCCACCCCGTCAGAGCACTGCCCCGGGGTGGAAGTGACCGGAACATCCACAAGCGCACCGGTCAGTTCGGCTGAAATCCAGCGATGCGTCGTGTTCTAACAACACACTAGTTATTATAACAACTATGACCAATAATGAGCAACTAATGAGCCTTCCAGCATCAAGCCCTCCTCGTATCTGGACCTCCGTCTGGACAATCTGACAGCCTTGATATCCGACATAGAAGATGTTGGAAAGAGAGCAAAACAGATAGCTTCATCTTCTTCATCATCATCATTTATTAGCAAACTCCAAACTTCAGTGAAGGATTTGACTTGAATATATTGAAAAATTATCAACAGTGAGTGAACTGACCTGAGAGCCTCCAGTTTACAGTTCGGACTCTGCAGTCCAGCAGAAAGATGCTTCACTCCTGAATCCTGCAGGTTGTTTTCTTGTAGGTCCAGTAGTGTCAGATGGGAGGGGCTGGACTTCAGAGCTGAGGCCACGACTTCACAGTGACTCTCTGAGAGTCGACAGTCAGAAAGTCTGTCATGACACATAAATGATAAAACATGTTATTATGAAAAAGGACACTTCATGTTTCCTTCATGCATTTGACAGCAGAACATCTGGACTGGTCCTGTTGGACATTTAGTTCTTCACATCAGAGCTTCAGCTGATCTTCTCTGACTGTGTTTGACATCAAACTGAATCCTCATCAGCCTCTCTCACACCTGCACACTTTGAATCTTTCTTTGGTTTCATGTGCAGATGGAGGACAGAAGATGGAGCTACATTCAGGCTTCCAGACTGTCCACAGTCTGTCAGTGGGACCTGATCCCACGTCTGACTCCACAAAGTCATCAGGAGAACATCTGGACCACGACAACATGTTGTGTCCTGTTTCTACTGTGACCCAGGATGTTGTGACTGAGTGGAGCTCAGTCAACAGGTCCAGTTGAAGGATGATGATGTCTCTGCTGTGGACCTGCTGCTGCCAGCTTCACCTCCATTACTCAACATCTACAGTCTGCTGTCAGACGCTGCACAAACCAAACTGATCTCTGGACCACGTCACACCTGAACATCATCAATANTATCAAATCAATCAAAAACCAGACTATAAAGGTAGGTCTTGAGTTTGCTTTTAAAAACAATCTTCTCTGCTGCCCTCAGGTCTTCTGCTAGATGTTCCACAGATGTGGGCCTTAATAGCAAAACGCTGCTTCACCGTATGTTTCTGTTCTGGCTTCAGGTTTCATTAAAAAGCCACGACCAGAGGACCTGAGGGTTCTAGAGGGTTCTGAAGATAAAATGCTTCCTATTGAAACGAAGACTGGCCGACTGAAGCCGGAGAGGACGCATCGGCCTGCGGCTCCCAAGCCTCCTGCTTTGGCAAGACCACGGCCGGTTCTGGTGGGATTCCACAACTTTCTGTGTTAAATGCTTCGAGGGAGATGGGAAATAAAGCCCAGGCACTGAAACACGGGCCGACCACAGTGATGACATTTCAAGACTTCTTAGTAGCTGTCATTTGCAAGCACAAAAGTTTCCACATGGTGAAGAAACGCCTGAAGACCGTCGGCGCCGAACACAGGCTGCTCTACTCAGAGTCACCCATCACGACCCGGCTATAGGGGAGAATTATATGGAGTCACTGGAGCCCACGGATGTCAGTAATGGGTCAATATCGGACTGACTCAAGGTTTGGACTTGTGCTGCATTTGTGTTGTTATTCTTTGTGACTTGTTCATTACAGGAAATGCAGCACGAGTACGTGTCTGTGTGTCTGTAGCAACTCTGAGCCTGTGCTCCTGGAATGTTAACAGCATGCACACACCTGTTGAGCAGAGAAAGGTTACAGGTGGGCAACTCTGTGGAGCTTTTCCAGAGACTATGGTGGTGAAGGCACCCGTCACTTGAGACAGATGTGGGAGAGACAACTTCATGTGGCTTTTACAGATGATCAATGGAATGATGCCTGGCAGAGCGTGAAAACCTTAAGCAACAGAACAGAAGCTATTCAACTTAAGCTCTTACACAGGACTCATATCTGCCCCCATATACCACATAAAGTTAATGCTGCTTTGTCCCCTTTGCCTCTTTGCCTCAAGTGTAAAATGGAAGTAGCCAGTCTCACCCATTGCCTGTGGTTCTGCTGGAAGATTCAGAGGTTTTGGTACATTATAGGTCAAGAAATGAACAGTATCCCAGCTACTGATTTAGAAAATGACCCATTGTGCATGCTGCTTGGAAGAAGAAGTCGTTTCATCACTGATAAAATACATAAATACATTCTGTGTAAGGAAGTGCATACTTCTGAACTGGACAACAGACAAAGTCCAACTAAAACACAGTGACATAAGGTCAGATCTACAACAG